ATCATCATTATCATTTAATTCCGGTTAAAATTCACGTAATCAATAATGCATTAAACTAGGTCACTAAACATTTAAAATTTAACTCAGGTGCCTTTTTGTGATACATGCGGTCAAAATTTTTATTCGGAAATTTTTTATTTATAAAAAAAAAAATAGAAAAAATTTTAATTTACGAAATGGTTTTCTTCCCCTTTCTTCCCTTTCTCCCCTTTCTCCTCTTCCTCCTCTCTCCTCCCTTCATTTGATTTAAAGCGACATTTATATATATAAAAAAAGTATATATATCCTTATCAGTGTTATCACTCTTTGATAAATATTTCATGTGCGTGGGAATTAATCAACATTTACACCAAGTTTATTCATCCTTTTAAAAAAATAAAACTTTAATTATTATTATTATTATTATTATTCGTTTTAAAAAAATTTGTTTTATCATTCAAATATGCGTAAATGATAATAACAATAATTTTCCGTCGTTATTAAAAAAAAAAATGTCGTCACGATAAACGGCGAAATGTTTTTTTTTTGCGCGCGGAATCATAAAAATAATAATAAAATTACCGAGAAGTGTTTTTAATTCAATTTAATTTTTTTATTCGGCTACGTGACGTCATATCGATACGTCACAATTTGAAAAAAAAATAATGATAATGATAATATAGAAAATTGACGGGAAAAAGTTTTTAATAATTTTCTTTCCGTTCCTCTTAATAAAATCCGGTAAAACTTGACAACATTAACAAAAAAATAAATGAAAGAAAATCCGTTTAAGTAAAATAAATTACTTTTACGTTTTTGTTGTTGTTGTTTGTTGTTCCTGTTGTTGTTTGTTAATATTAAAAAAGATTTGTTCGTTTTTAATCCGATAGACTTTTTAATATCAATAATAATAAATTTAATAGTTTGTTATATAAATAAAATTTCATTTCTAATTTTTTTCTTTTCAAATTAATTTTTCGCGACGGCCCGTGCGCGTAATTTTATCATCATCATCATCATCATTATTATTATTATTATTTGAAATAATATATCGAAACGAGAAATTTTGTGTTTAAATAAAACAATAATAATGATAATAGGTTCATCGTATACTCTTAAATGTAATAATTTTATTGAAAAAGTAGTTGTCGAAACGATTTTA